GATGGTCGGTCCACCCGTCAGCACCCGCGATCGCCTTCTACTCTACGTGCATATACGCAGATATACAGTCATCGGCCGATCTCATGACGTTTTAGCCGAACTTCTGAAATGCGTTTTCCATTAGGAAGGATTACATTGATAGAGCTGTAAGATTAAATGACTTGCAAATTAAGGCCGCAACATTTCAGACAGACTATGGTGTTGGCTTTTGAATGCGCCTCTTTTTTACGGTTTACAAAACCCGTACCAAGCGATAAATGGCTACTTTAGTTGTATGCATTTACCTTCAATTTGTGACGCCTTAGTAATTTTAAATTAATTTTTATAAAAAATCATTTTATGCACTTATTTGGTATAAAACTCTGTCTCCTTTGAAGGACTTTCTCTAGAAATCTGATTTTGGATTACAACGCATTTTTCATGTCCGGCGTAATTTTGAACTTGATCTATCATTGAATTTTTGCCTCGAGTTTTCATCCTACAACCTGTATGATTTCCGCCTAAAGAAAAACATGTATTCCTTTATGCCATTAAGAAAACATCATATGGGGCTCATGCAAATTTGCAGCGGATATTGACTACACTGCATGTTCAGTGAGGAGTAGCATTTAACAGACAGATACGATGCTATTTGAATGGACTTTGCTCGATCGTAAAAAATCTCATAGTGAAAAACCTTTTTTAGATCCACAAAAGGCATCCCTTTGAGTATCGACTGCCAACTAAGTGTAATAAACATATTTCCAGCATCATTATTCCGGATATTTTTGACTATTAGATGGAATTTAAAACCTATGTGGAAAATTCAAATCAGTTTGGTTGTTTTTTTTACCGACAGCGGTTTTTGCAGGCGGCTGAAAAGAGGAGAATAAAAAATCCACTATCTTGGCGTGTTTGAAGCACTAGGGGATTATGTCGCAAGAGGATCTTTATTGCAAGCCATTGAAGTACTCCTTTCTAGACAAAAACCGAATTCAGAATTTTGACAAACACTTCCTTTTATCGGTTTTATGCTGTATATACACAGCATGGCGGCTAAAAAACTGTCTTTTTAACGTTATTTTTAAACGACCAAGTGGCTTTTAATATTGTCCGAGTTGTGACTGTCCAGAATGAAAAGATAAATTTTAAGATGTCTTGGCTGGAACATTTGCGAAGATAAAAATTCTGCAATGCAATCTTTTTGAGACAGGCGTATTCAGATACGCTTGGCAAATACATTTATGCGAAAATGATTTGTTTCGTAAGAGTGGGACGTTTCCTTCTCTTACGCTCCATTTCTTCATAATCACGACGGAGTTGGCTGATTTGAAAATAATCCCTGGAATAACTGAGAAAACTCAGTCTATTTCGAGGGATTTATATTGACAAAAAGGTCATTATATTTTTCATAGTTATTGAAATTGTGAGCGTAATTCGATTATTAATAGCCTACATACTCATAGCCTGCTCGCTAAATTATTTTTTCTTATCTGATTGTGTGGGCCGTATTTGCAGGCTGATTAATATATGACGAACAATCACCAAAAATGCTAACGTCCTTTACAATAGCCTCTAATAAGTACGCCTTAACTCAAAATATAAAAAAACATTCGTTTAAAGTTACCTTTCAAAAAATAATGCGGCGTAGGTTCAGGGTAACGATTGACAAAGACTTTTACATATTCTTTTGCTTGAATTATACCGATAAATATGGATCATAAAACACAAACTTTGAGTGTTTTGGAGCCGTTTATGCTAAGTTTTAGATCTAGACTCAATTCGAAGATAAAAGGTCTGTGAAGAGGGGCTCGAAGTGTACTAACACATTTTGATAAACGACTGTCCTTGTACCTGGCCCGTTCGCACATGTTTACTGTCTGGAATCTCTTTTAAAGCCGAAGAAATTGAAGGGTAGATATCACAAGGCAGTTTTGGACAGAGGTTTGGTTCGGATTATCAACCAAGCGTTAACAGAGAACACAATCGTTAAGCCCGTCTAAATGAAAAATGTGCACCTTGAGGTCTCTAGCTATTTCAAATTTGAAAACGTTTATTTCAATATCACGAACATAATCATCTGTACAGAGGTTATCGGTTATCTCACCCTTTTGCATTTCCAAGAGAACACTGCCAGTTGGCTATAGACGAAGTTTTTTGAAAGTTAGTAATACATAAGAAGCAAAAGGGAGCACAACAACACGTAAAAAGCGCCTAGTAAAATGGTTCCTTTTAACATAAATTTTGCTGTCTCATTTAGAAGAACACAAGCGAGTTCGTCTAAAAACTCGCTACGGCAAAATAGGTGGCAGGTGGGTAAATGTTTTATTCCCCTTGAGGGCAACACAAACAAGTAAACTTAAGGGAGTTGATATTGCCCATGTTAACGAGAAAGATTAAAAGTGGATTTTCCAGAATGTGCATTTTCTTCCGTTCTGTAGAGTTCAGTCTACCACCTGCCATAAAAGAAATAAGAGAGCTAACTTGAAATTCGATGCAACATATAAATCGCGCGCAGAATTGCACAGAGCGCTCGCTTAACGACTTTCTTGCACTCTCTGCGCAATGAAAATATTCTGGCCAAAATGTGCTTAAAC